AAATAATATATAAAACTTATAATATCATATAATTTAAAATAAATTTTTTCATATTTAAATATTTATAAGTTAATTTATATAACTCGAATCAAGTTGAGTTGAAAGATTTTATAAAATAAATTTGACTCGACTCGACTCAAAAAAAATGAGTTAAATAGAGTTGATCTTTAAACTTGACTTGACTCGACTCATTCAAAACTCTAATCCTGACTGACCAGTTGATTAACTGATTTTAACTAACTGATTTTTATATAAGAAATATTTTTAAATAATTTTATTAAATTAAAAGTACTATATTTTGTGAAATTTAATGCAAATAAATTTATTATAAAAATACTTATTGTCAAATATAAATTAAATACTAGTAACTAACTTGTTAACAATTTTAATTATATCACTAAAGTGATTAATATTGACAAATATTAAAATTAAAAATTTACAAATCTTTTAGTATTATATTAACTACTATTTGAGTTAATTTTAAATAAAAATAAATTAATGTTGCATTTTAAAACAATAATCTATATTTATTTTTTGTAAAAATAATCAATGTAACTAAAAATTTTTAATTAAATTTTTTTTTGAATAATAAAAATAAAATTTTCATATATCAATAATATAATTCTATAATGATTTTTTGTATTTAAATAATATAAAAAAATTTTTTTTTCACATATTAAGAAACAAAAAGAACTTTAAATGCAATGATATATTAAGATCAATAGTAATTTATTTTTATTTTTATAATTAATTATAAATCATCAAACTAAATTTTAAATAAAATTTTGAATAATAACAAATTATTAAATGTATATAATATAACTAAAATTTTAATTGTTAAATTTAAAATCTTATAATTAATGCATATAAAAAAATTAATAAATGAGTTTTTTATATGTAAAGAAATAAAAAGAATCATTAATTAAAATAATTGAAATTTTATCAGTTTTATTATTTATGAATAGTTTTAAAATGATTTTAAAGTAAAAAAATAAAATACAAAAAAAAATATATAAATATTATAATAAAAATTTTTTATTTTAATTAATTCACTTACTTATTTTACTTTCCTTATTTTTCTTTCTTTTCATTTTTCTCTCTTACTTTTTTTCTAACTTTCTCTTTTTTTTATTTTAATAAATAAACATATCTAATTATTTAATGAAAAGTGATAAAGAAATTATTTTTGAAACTTATGAAAGTAGTATATATAAAAAGAAATTAAAATTAATAATAAAATGAACAATGTTGATAAAGAAATTAATAAGTAAAAAAATGAAGAAATAATTAATTCACCTTTATTCCACTTTTAAGAAAAATCAATAAAAGCTAAAGTATGGAATTATGTAGATAAAATAACAAAAAAATGTTTAAATTGTGCTAAAATTTTTGGTAATAAATCAGAAATTAGTTCTATTCAAGTACATTTAAAAAAGTCATGAATTGTTACTTGAAAAAGAAAAGCAAACAATTAGATAATTATGTTAAATGACATTCTTAAGAGATTCAAGTCAAAAGTAGTTATTGAATAGATAATTTTAGATATACAAGCTAGTAGAAGGTAAAGCATTTAATAAAATAGTATTAATACTTAATCCTCATTATCAAATACCAAGTAGAGGAATAGTTAAAAATTCTATAAATGAGACAACTTAAAAAAAATAGAAAGTTAGTTACAAATTTTATTAAAATTTTCAGGAAATGTAGTATTAACTGCAGGCATTTTGTTATCTTTAAAATTTGAAAGTTTTTTAGGTATTACAATATATTTTATCAACGAAAATTGGATTTTAAAACATTTATTTTAGATATATTTAGATTCAAAGGTCAACATTCAGGTGATGAAATTGCTGATAAAATTGATTAGAAACTAAAACTTTAGGAATAACAACTTATAATGGTGGTAATATTATTCGTGATGCAAATATTTTAAAATTAAAAATATCAAATAATATTATTCATGTACTTATGCCATCAATATTATTGTAAATGCTAGGTTAGAACTATATTAACTCATATTAAAAATTTAAGAAAATTAATAAATCAATTCGAAAATTAACTAAATTACTTGAAGAATTAGAAAATTTTGCAAAGTTAGATAATAAACAATTTCTTCATCTGATTATGGATTGTAAAACAAGATGGAATTCAACCTTTAAAATGATTAATCGTGCATGTAATTTGAAAAGAAAATATACAAATGTTATTAGTTAAAAATCCTAAATTAAAAGATATTTTTTCAAATAAATATAAATGGGAATTGTTTAAAGATTTAAACCAATTTTTATATCAATTTAATGAAGCAATAATTGAACTTTCATCACAAAAATATCTTACTGTTGCATATTCAAGAGTAATTTTATTAGCAATTAAAAAAGATTTAGAATAAATTAGAAGAAACTTCTCATATCGCAGCCTTTTTAGATCCTAGATATAAAAAATATTATTTTCCAGAAATGACAGCTTATGAAATACAATCACCAATTAGAAATCTATTAGAGCAACAAAGAAGTTAAAAGGAGCAAATTCTATTATTACAAACGTGGATGATGAAGTTAATAAATATTGGATTTCTGCTGAAGTTGAAGATGTAAAACCTTTGGATTGGTGGAAAACTCATTCTACTGAATATCTTAATTTGTCAAAACTTGCATTTTTATATTTATGTATTCAAGCAAGTTCGGTTCCATGTGAACAACTTTTTTTCAATTGCTGGTCATGTTTTATGTAAATCACGAAATCATATATCTGGAGATACTGCAAGAGCATGTTTATGTTTATATTGGATTTCACAAAACATTATATAGATTTAATGAAATAAATTATTTTGTATTTAATATTTTAAAAGAATATATGTATTTATAAAAATTAAATAAAATATTTAAAATATTTAAAAAATTTAAAAAATTTCGCGATAATGCCTGTAAAAATGATTAATGAAAATAAAATTAATTTTTAATTATCGTTTATTACAATTAAAAATAAAACATTTAAAAGTAAAAATTATTGTTAAACAGTCGGTCAACCGGTCAGTTAAAATCGGTCAGTTAACCGGTCGACCGTGACAATAATTTGCGATGAATAATAAGGTTTTTCATAGTGAAAAAATTCTAATAGTAAATTGAAAGACAGGGGTGTGACTCAGGTGACAAATATAGATTACGTGACACCGGTCATGATCACTGGTGATAAATATATATGTAAATTTATCAATGAAAATGGCAACTTTGTATAATGATACTAGAGTTAGAAGATGTTCGACAAGTATTACCACAACTCAAAGGTGAGAATATAGAATAGATATATGTTTCTTTTTTTATAATTAGTTTTAAATCTCCAGATATTATTATAGTAACGACGAGATTGATGCTGTTTCAAAAGCTCTCGTCCGAATGCCTGATGAGGAATCCAATAAACTGAAAAAATTTCGAAAACTTTGGTGGGATCAAGGAAACCTTCATCCAAAGGCGGAATGAGATCATGCGAAGTAAGTAATGCCTGTATTTTTTCTATTGAAGACAAACTAATTTTTTTAATTAATTATATTAAGGTTCCCATACACCCTTGTTGAAGGAGTGTCTTTGGAAGAATACGAACGTCGTGGAGACGTTTTTAACGTTCATGGCTTCTGGGAATGGTTTGATGGCAAGGTCAAGGTAACTGAATGTCCGTCTAGACCACATGAAATTTGTATTAGCAAGATAGTTTGTCAATTAATGGATGCTTGCAGAGATGTAACGAATACCGATGCTGAAATCTATAATCTAGGTTCAACTCGTAAGCATTAATTTATTAGCTTTCTTTTTATTATATTTATGATGTTAAACTAATCTTGAATATTTTAAAGGAACTCGTAGCGGAGCGGTGATTCTGGAAAAGAATCTGACGCATCATTTGCCCCCCCAAAAATTGCAGAAACTTCACCAAATGGGAGCGATGGAAACGTACTTTACTTTCTTCTCTGTTCTTTTAATTCTTGCAAAAGTTGGTTTC